TTAACAAAGATACCTGCAGAGAGAGACAGAGAGAGCGAGAGGGAGAGAGACTATGGGAGGGAGAAAACACAACGTTAGTGACGTTTAGTGAAATAAATAAATGTAAGGGGAGAGAGAGACAGAAAAAAGGGAAGAGGTGCTCAGTGGATGAGGGGAGTTCCCCCAGCAGTCTAGATCTATAGCAGCATAACTAAGGGATGGTTCAGGACTCACCTGATCCAGAACTAACTATAGGCTTTATCAAAAAGACATTTTAAGTTTAACTTTAAATGCAGAGTCTGCCTCTTGAACCCAGAGTGGGAGCTGGTTCCACAGGAGCTGAATGCTCTTCTACTCTTACAGATTATTAGAACCACAAGAGAGCCTGTATTTAGGGAGCGAAGTGATCTATTGGGACCATATAGTATTGTGAACTCTTTAATAACATGGCAGTGGTACTAGCTCATAGTTCATGTTCGTTAATGGTTCTAAAATATGAAGGACTCAAACTTTAGTTCAACTCACAGTAACGATATGAAAGACCTAACTAACCCATGAAAATCATCATTGGAGCTTGGAAGTGCAATTTGGCATTTGCAATATTCTCTAACTACAGTGTATTTAGATATTCACTTTTATATTTGTTGTAAAGTTATTCCTTTTCACTTAAAATGGTACTGAAAATAAACTTAATTTACATTTTCTTATAAATTATAATTTCCTCTGTATGTGGAAACAATGATGAAACGTTAGACACTGCTCTGAATCCTGTGTGAATGTTAAGTTGTTTTTTTGTTTAATCATAATAACATTTTGGCTGCCTTCACCATGCATTTACAGTTGCCTAAACCCTGTGAGTCTTATTTATGGTCATAGGTATTGACAAACAACTGAATGATCCTTCCTCTCTACCTCCCCCTGGGTCAGGTATGAAGACATTGCCAGGTTTCCTGTACAGAAGACCAGAGAGCTCTACAGTTTCCTTGGTCTGGTTCTGGACCAGAGTGTGGAGGACTGGATCATCAACAATACTCGGGGTAGCAGTGATCTGTCGTCCCGGCATAAGTTCACCACAGTTCGGGACTCTGCTGCTAATGCAGAGAACTGGAGAGTGAAGCTATCCTTCGACATGGTAGTTTACACCCAGACGGTGTGTCAACCACTTCTGGAGATCCTTGGATACAAGAACGTCTTCCACCCAAGAGAACTGAAGAACTTCTCCCACTCGTTGGTGGAGGACAGGATGTTCCTCCCATTTTTCTAAACAGCTGATGACGGACATACAGTACATCCACTGAGTGTCCAAGAAACCATCAAAGCAAGACAGTGCTGAAGTTAATGGAGCTGAGATGATGTGGCCCAAACGGTTTGGCTGATCTGAATATCCTCACTATGTCTGGTGGAGGATGAGAATAAGGCACATCCTTTCCACTGGTATCAGTGTTACTTGGGGATCTGGGCCGCTCTGTCAACCTTTACTTTGTATTTATTTACCCTCTGAGCAATCAACTACCTCAGTTCCTGCCATTTTCCCCTTGAAGAACCATTTGACGTATTCAAGCCATTTCATGGTAAATCAAATGTTACAGCTAATCATGTTTAAACTTCTGTATGTAGATTAACTGATGAGCCAAAACATTAGGACCACTGATAGAGGAAGCAGGTAATGTTGATTATCTTGGAACAATGACGGACACAAGGTAAAGAAAATATTCGACGGTAGGTGAACAATTGGTTGTCGTAGTCAACATGTTGGATGTGGAAGAAATGTGCAGGTGACCTGAGCAACTTTGATGAGGGCCAGATCATCTTGGCAAGACCACCTGATCGGATGTTCTCCCGGGCTTGTGGGGTGCGCCAGGTCAGCCGTGGTGACAGTGATCTGAGGAAGACGGAGGGACAAACCCGCCCATCAACGGTGTGTGAAGTCAGCAAAGGCTGCCATGTCTGGTCTGGATCGACAGTCCCAGAATGTTTCAGTGAAGGTTGTGGAAGAGATGTGTTGCTAAACAGGTACCCATGCTGGTCATAAAATAATTGTCTAATAATTGTCTCCTTAAAGGGATAGTTCACAGAAAAATTTAAATTCAGTCATTATCTATTCACCACTCTGCCGATGGTGGAGTGGGTGAAGTGTATGAGTCCACAAAACACTTCTGGAGTTTAAGGGGTAAACTTTTTTACAGCAGAATCCAATCCAATTGAAGTGAATGGTGAGTCCTTCTTCAGACGTAATAAAATAACAGAAAAAACATAACATGCCTCCATACTGCTCGTGCGGAGTCACCCAAGTGTCCGCAAGCCCGGACATTCATATCCAGATGGTGTGTCCGAGGGTCTGTGAACGCACCTCGTAGGAAGATGTCAGTGGACATTTAGGCTTGGAAGAAGGTGTAAACGATGCTGTTTGGAGTCGAAGATGAATGTCGGGGCTTGGATGACACCACAGCAGTATGGAGGCATGTTATGCTTTTTATGCATTGCGGTAAGTAGCATTGCGGTAAGTAGATAATCAGTGAATTTAAATGTTTCAATGAAAAAGGTTGGGTTCTACATTGATCATGCTTTACCATTGACAGATATGTATGACTGTGTGTTGGTGCCACTGTGACAGAACACCATTTTCTCAGTTTGTTATTATAGCAAGGAGAAGAAACCTAATGAAAAATAATTTTCAGGATATTTTCATGCTATGCCATTTTATTCATTATTTTCTCATTAAAGGGTATTGTTATTACAAGCAAGGTTTATACATATTACTAATTTTCCCTTTATTATACAATATGAGATTCATTAAAACAAGATGTATTTTTAGCTGCATAGAGAAAACGTTGTGATGCATCTAATTAAGGGGTTAAAAACCTTTTTCCTGTCAAGAGGCAATTTCAGTTTTTATAACCTTATAGACTTAGAAGACCATACTAAATTATTTAGCACACATCACACTTACCTCACAATGTGATGCTTCTCTTTGGCCACATGTCTAATTTCAGATGAGGATGATGATGTTGATGATATTAGCAACTATCTAGCAGTCAGTTTTTAAAAGAACAGCTCGCAGCAGCAGGTTGTTCCAAACTGAGAATCAAACTTCTTCAGAATGGGACATACAGTTTATAGAATTGGACCAGAGGGAGGTTGTTACTCAACTGTTTTGCAGTTCAACAATTTAATGTTGTAGATCATCAGGGCGCATCACATCACATCAGGGTGCGACTGCTCAGGAACAGAGGGTCGTCCACTAACTATAGAAGGTCAATGGTTTGATCCCCGGCACCTCCAGTTCTCATTCTAAAGTGCTGAATAATGCAGCGTGAATGTCCTGTAACAGTCCATTCACCATCAGCTGGTTTCACATTTAACAGCTTGAGCAAATATTTTCATTTCAATAAATCGTCTCTTCCATCAAACTGTGGTTTCATGACAGGCCAGAGAGAAAAACCCAAAATATTATGTAGTGTCACTATATTGTACCACATCAGTTATCAGGCTCGTTCCAGCAGCCCCACAACAACAACAAACAAAGCTCCTTTAGAAATGATCCTTATTAATGAGAGAACTATTAGCCACTCACCACAGAACGTGTCTAACATTGTTTCTGCCAGAACTGGGTATTGTGAGAGCTGCATGTTGGGCACCTGTCACAGCTTGGCTTGTAAAGGCCTTGTCAATAGCAAGAATCCAGCAGGACTAGTTTGTGGGTAGTGTCAACAAATTCCACCAAAGAGTGTTTTCAATCTTTATCCAAGTGATTGAATTACATTTGGTTTTTGCAATGCATCCAAAAGTCTCATGTTTCGAGCTCTAAGGATTGTCAAGCATCACTGTGCATGTGTAAACTTGACACACTAGCTTGTCTTGACGGGCACCATCATGGTTTTAAGTAATGACAGGTGACAAAATTTGCATTTACTTCACTCTGATCATGACCTGAAAGGCTTACAGCCTGAAGGTACCAACTTGAAGGAGATTTTAGTTCAATGCTTGATGGAAATGTTTCTTTTATCACATGAGGAATCATCTATTTTTGTCATGAGAGTTTTTCGTGTGTATCAACTCATCAGCTAGACTAAACATACCCAGGACATCTTTCCGAGATCCAGCTGAATTTATGTCAAGTTTCAGAAGATTTTTAATTCTGAGAAAATGAAACTTAAAGTTGGCTACTTTTTCATTATGGTTAATCCTAACCCTAATTTATTAAAGGTTCAGTGTGTAGAATTCAGTGACATCTACTGGTGAAGTTGCATGTTTCAGCTGAACACCCCTCACCTCACCCTCCACTTCCAAACAGGAAAGAGAACCTGTGGCAGCCTTCAGTTGTCATAGAAACTCAAAAGGTGTTTGGTTTGTTCAGTCTAGACTAATGTAATGTTAAAGTATTTATATAAAGGGCCCATTCTAAAGAAAACAACAATTTGTACCATTTAGATGATCACACACTATTCACTACATCACTAGGATTATTTTATGTTAAATTTCTGCCAATAGATCTTTTTCACCTAAATCTTAAACACTGAACCTTTAAATATTATTGCGTTTTTAATCTTTGAAAGGTAACACAGATATTTCACTTCACTCTTGTTCATGGTGACCCCAACTGTCATGTATGTATGTATGTATGTTAGTGATTTTACTCGAATAGAATGTTGTGGAAAGATGGCTAACTTTTGATTATGTAAATTATATTTACCTTCACATCAACAAAACTAAGACAGACATGGTGAGAGACTTTCCCAGGAAGTCGGCCCAGACTACACCAGTGAAAACCCAGGGCATGGGGATTGAGATAGTGTGGGATTACAGATACCTGGGTGTACAACAACAAGTGGGCTGGTCCACCAGCACAGACAACACCCAGAGTGTAAAATAAATGTTGCATTGTTTTTTTCCAAGTCACAACTAATTAGAATTATGTGCACTATTTTTCACAAAATGTCCCCCCTAAGAGTAGATGGCATCCAATGCTAAACAGTGTAGTATTGGGCTTTGCAATATCAATAAAATGGGATTGACATTACTTGAAAGAAAAAACTGCTGTTTTTATTTTACAGATTACAGTCTTATTACATCTACAAAAATAATTCTATAATACATAAAATTGCTTGGTCTGAAAAGTCTCAGGGTTACAAACTATCAGAAAGGGGAAGGGAGGGAGTCAGGCTAAAAGTAAAAGAGAGGACAGCTGATTGTAAAATACTGTTTTTAGGCATGCAGCAAATGTCAAAGGATTTTTACTCACTTATAAAAATGTAGCTTTACAGTAAAAGTGCAATTATAAAATTCAAACAAACGCCAACACAGTTTGGTCTTCATCCTTAATTCTGCATGTTTTATGTCTTCTTCAAAACTCCTTTGCTCACTAAATGTGACATTTGGTTCAGATTTATTTTTGACCTGTTGGTGGCAGACACACAGAACAGAATTTGCAAAAATACAGCTGTGATATTCTGTGAGCTCATGAAACCTTTGAGGCTCTTGTGTAAGCAAACACCCAGAAGACACAGAGCCGCATCACCACCTCACTGAAGTGGTGCTTCTAGCCAGCTGACCAAGAGAAGGTCAATATTCCCTTGTCTCTCAGTAATGGAAGCAGTGCTTCAGTTTGCTGTCTGTATTCTGGAAGGTAGATACAGGGAAATAGTAATGTCCAAGAAGGACAAACACATTTCAAACCTAAACAAATATGAATTATTCATTTACAACTGAAATGCTTTTCCTCTACATTAAGAATCATTGTACAAGTTTCTGTTTTGTAATTTCACTGGAACCACTATGTTTTTGTTTAAATTCTCAGTTACACAACTGGAGTGAATGAATTGTTGCTGTATGAAATAAGCACTGACTCTATTTTCCTGCTAACTAATCAAAGCTCCAGAAAATCACAAACACATTAATGAAGTGTTATTGCTCAGGTCCACAAAGTCCACAGACATTTACATTTCAAACGTACATATTGCATTGACATTATGAACTGTGATATTGCTGTTTTGTCAGTCAAATAATCAGTTTTGACATTTCCACATTACAACTGTAATGTGGAAAGCGACAAACTGGTTAGCCTGTGAATGAACACAGTAAAACCAAACATTTTCAGCAGTAGCATGCTTTTTTCAGATTCAGTATAGCATACTCTATCGCACAACTCACTTGAAGCCAGTTTCATTACATTTCCAAGCTGATATTTCAGTGTTCACTTTCTGTAGATACATTTCATTTCACTTAAACTGCAAAGGTTGTATCAAATGTGATTGAAACATTTGTGATCTCTCTGTAAGAATAAAGAAACAGAATGTTGTGAAATTGGCTCCAGTCAGCAAAAACACAGGTAAAGAAATAGGCTGTAAAAACAAACACCACATTGAGGAAATAAATGACGTCAATACTAAATATGAACATAAAAGCACTTTCAACCAAAACATATAGTTTAAGTAAGAAAATGATCTTCAACAGGCAATGGCTGATGAAAATAAGGTACATGTAATGTTCTGCAATGGAAAGTGACACAGAATTCCTTCATTTTCTGGTTTGTCTGTATTGGTCGCTGATATTGCACCAAGTGGGAAACTGCTGTCTGCATGTTACACTGCAAACGGTGAAAACAAGTGGCCAAACAGTAAGCTACTCTGAAAGGGAGTTTTTTATTTTGTATTAAATAATGTAAGTGTATGCTTTTATATTTAGCCTATATTATGCTTTATATGTTTTTACCAGGTAGTTCATATTTTCTTCAGCATTTATTTGTGGAGGGGTGGGGCATGAACCAAGGAAGAACACTACAGTTTGGAGTGGATCCAGACATAAACATTGAATGAATTCATTTTGTTGGTCTATGAATTACTTCTGATAGAGTCTCACTTTACTTGATGGTATTTTGTCATAACTAAGTGTCTGCTGTTGGACACTTTCAAACCATATTAGATAGTGTTGCTCTAATCTGTTTTCAGTTTGTTGATGTAACGACACAACTCAACAGTTTCCAGCATATAACATTATTCGTCACTCTATTTTACTTATCTTCAAAGCCAGAACTGTGATAAGATGTCATGGTATGCCCTCTGAGTAGAGCTACTTCTTCAAAGCACACTGGATGCTACAATGACTCGTTTCAGGGAGTGGCAAGATGGGCCTTTTGGGCGTTGTGGACCTTGCTGCAGAAGACAGATGTTGATGTTAATGCTAGCAATTACAAACATCTCAAATCACCTTCTGGGCTTTACAGACAGTCTTTTCAAAGCAAATGATCCATGACATTCACATACATGTCAGTTGGATATACTGCAGCTAATTTTGCATAAAACCTCTGTTTGCATTCATGTCGTGTTGACCCATACAGTTTTAACTGTACTGCTGATCTACACATGAACAAGGAGAGGGGGGTGCTTGTCTTAGTTTAGTAATCATCAGGATACAGGGTTGTACAAGTTACTGATGTCTAAGATGAAATTGAATTAGAGACACATTTGCTTATAATCTGATTCTTAAAATGTACTGTAGTAATACTATGAGGAATTAAAATGACAACTGATGGTTTGAGCTCATTAATGATTACGTTCTGCACAATTAAGCCACCTAACATTGGTAGAAATACTCTTGAATGTCCATCCCCACAAACCCTAATGTTAAATCCCTACCATGCTGTAATGCCCAAGTCTGGCTCCACAACTCTGAATCACAATCCCAGGTCTTTAATTGGTCCAGATTCAAAGCTCTGGTGTTGCAGATAACCTGTGTAGGAACTATGAGAATGAGCTTTAAAGGATGGCCACATGGAGGTGCTAAATACTACTTGTTTGTTTCTGGTCCTATAATATGGCTGAAGGCTGTGTTCACACTAACATAAGCACTGCATCAAAACACAGAGCCTCAATCATTTCAATGACACCACTGTGTTGGCACATTAGCTTATCTCATAATGTGGACAGTATTCAATTCTACCGCAAAGGACTCAGTCATTGCAAGCATACTTTCCAGTAAAGGACTGTTTTCATAAACTAACAAAAAACTACAGGCTCCTCTAAATAAGTCTCATTTTCCCTTGTGGAACCAATCTGCCATGTTCCTGTTCTCTTCTACATGAGAACACATGATGATGTTATTACCTCGGCCAAGTTGTTTATGTTTCGCCCCTGTCTGTTTGTTTTTTGTGAGATTGGCTGTAGTTTTTTTTGTGTGTTTGTCTGTTGTTAGCAGGATAAAACCAAAACTACGACTTCCATGAAACTTGGTAGAAGTAGGGACTTCGGCCAAGAAAATATCTAATACATTTTGGCACAAACACAGACTAAGAGGCAGATTTTTGTCTTCACTTTCTGTAACATTGTGAGACTGCGGTATAGACTCTACTGAGTGTCACTCTAGTTGCTCCAATATTATTCACCCATCAAACTGTCACTGATGAACAATGTATTGTAAAAAGACATATGCTAACTGGATGCTGGCAAGTCAAAATACATTTCTAAAGGGAACATAAACAGAATTCATCAGATTCAACAAAGAGCTTTTTAAAAAATAAATATATAAATAACTACTAGTGCAGACACAGATACAAATTGAAAATATAAGTGAAGCATTGAAGGATTTTGTACATTTGTTAGGATTTAGACTCAAGTTGATTTTATTAAATCATTAAAGTGTAGTTATGATGAGGTTATACCTGTGTCTAATTCTCACCTGATATAATTATATCTGTCTCTGGTGGTTTCAATCACAAGTGGACGGCTCTATATTAATCAGTTCACATCTGACATTAGAATGTGTCTCCTGCGATCAGATCTCCCTTCACCGCTCTATATTTAAATAAACACTTAACACTTAATTCACGAAGACCAAATTATGTTTCAATCAGCCTGTCTGACGATGAAAAGAAGATCTGTTGTCAGTGTGTTTATATTTGTGAGAGAAGGAGAAAAGCGACGAGCAAGGAGGTGCGGGGCAAACCAGTGTGCAATGAAATGAGCTTTCACTCATTTGAGATAGAAAATCATTTCAACAATGAGAAGTGGGGCATTGTAAAACTCAACTGGGTCAAATGATGCCAGCTGAGGAGGCTGTCTTTCAAGTACATACTGCTAAAACAATGTGGCCACCTTCCAATGAGGTCTGAGTGATCAATTTAAAATGCGTCCTCAGTGAGTGTTGGGCGTTTTGACACGTACTCAGATATGTCCACTTGGATTGTCAGAGGGTTAGGGGAGGGGTGGGATTTTAACACCAGTCCTGAACAGGGTCATTAGGTCTGATTAATGAATGAAGCTAACACTCTTCCACCTGTTTTGTCAAAATGTTTGTGCTCTAGGTTGAGCACAGTGTATATGTGTTCTGACCATGCAACAGCAAGTAAAAGCCAAGTAGAACTGAGCTGTACTCTTTATTCTCCATAGAACTATATGAAGTTTTAACAAAATGTTTACCTTTGAACTCAAGTACGTGTGTAAATGTTACATGTGTCGATGTCATGCATTTCGGGACATTTACATGAACCTTTCCCTACCCTCCAGTGTCGAACACTTGTTTCACGTATGAATGCACAGCTTAACTATGTAACTTGATTATTTGTAACTGTTATTGTCATCCTACCTATGGCTAGCGTGTCTTCTGCCTGTTGTCAGGGGTGCTTGTTGTTTGTTTTGGTATTTGTTGAAGTTGTATCATTGTATTAATGTTTTGTGATGTTATACACTTTGTGCTACTTTGTTTTTGATGTTTTTGTCTTTGTCATTCGGATTTATCACCCAAGTAGCACTCGTGGCAACATCTGGCCAAAGAAGGTACAGGTTATCCAAACATTGCAGTTAAAACCACATTTGAAAATGTGTCAACTGGCAAATACTTGTATATTTACACTATTGTGGATTAATGAGTATTGTCCTTTGAATAAATAAATGAAATGAGAACTGAATTATGACATGAAGATCCATTCAAAGCTTCCGAGGTATTTTGTTTGCACACACACACACACATACACACACCCACACACACACACAAACAAACACACACACACACAAACAAACACACACACACAAAACCCATCACACATCAGTCAGCTTTGTCCTTCTTCCTCGGTGTGACTTTACTTGCAACCGCAGATCCCACTGCTCCAACACCTCCTGTAACCATGGAGACACTTCCTTTAACCAGTCCTACACTGGCTGCCGGCACACTGGTCACAGCTGTCTTGGTGATCTCAAAACTTTTGGTTCCTACCCATGCAACACCCCCCAGGGTCGCACCAACAACGTTTCGAGTCATGCTGAACAGGCCGCCGCCCACTCTCCACATGACTCCTCCCTCTGGCCTGGGGTGGTCCTTATCTGCGTCTGAGACAGACAAAAAAAAAAAAAGAGACAGAGATGAGCTAGATATACAGGGTTTTTCCTGCGGCAGCCTCAGCCTCCCGACAAAATTCGAGTATATTTTTTCACTGAAAACATTACAGTGGAAACCAGATATAGTGATCAGCCATTTATATGACCCCTGACTGCTCACAAAGGCAAAGTAAACTTAAATAGAAATATCTTGTGCCAAGACCGCATGGAATTTCTCTTTTTCGTCTGACGGCAAAATTACATTTGCACTGCTCAAAAAAAATTGTCATGTGAGATGGTGAGAGGAGATTGATGATACAAATCTTTTCACTGTTTTCAATGTTTTCTTTCTGTGCCCAGTTCTCTGCGATGATCCTAGCTCTTAGAAAACATAAATCACAGTCACAGTAAAAGAGATTCATCACAATAATCTGCTCGAGTATCTGCAGGGTTGAGCTTACACTGTGAAAATGCTCTTACGATAAAACTGGGATAAAAAAAAGTTCCCGGTTGTCATGCAAGAAACAGGAAATCCTGCCAGAGCCCAGTGCACATAAATGGATTTTCATAAAAGATTGACCCAATCCTAAAAGGAACCTGAGGTCAATCAGAGCACACAGACACAACATACTGTATGTTAGACCTCATCCAGAGTGCAGTGGACCTGGACTGAGCGAGACCAGCAACACTGTCAGCAGCATGACGCTGAATCACTCCACAAAAAGAGGAGCAATAAAGATCATTCGTCCTGTACTTAGCAGCTCACATTTTTCATCTTCCTCAGAAAACATGTTCATCAGTCAGTGACAGTGATGAAAACAACGCCTCATGTGTTTACAGCTGATATTGATTGAATTGGATTCATTGATATTAGACATTTTGACACACAACTCCACCTGAGATCAGCTATACTATGGGAGGGGGAAAACTGGAATTTGCAGCCAGTAGGACTGTTGCCGGACTGGACTGGAACCTGTGAGTGTGACTGGACACGTGAGGTGGTTCCTCACCATGTGTCTGTTCCTCTTTGGGATTTGGGAGATCTTCCTCCTGCTCTCTGTCCTCACAGCTGTGATGGTTGTTGGATTCAACAGAAGGCGAGCAGCTCTCCTCATCTACCTCCTGCTGTGAAGTCAGCCCCTGAAAGACAGCATGAACTGTTGGTATTACAGAGCAAACAGCTCTACAGAGAGAGGAACACCAAAGCAGATGAATATAAATACACATGAATACTATTGTTAAAATAAACTAAACTAAACTTCACTGTACTTAAAGGTCCAGTATGTAAGATTTAGGTGAAAGGGATTTTTGGCAGAAATTGAATATAAAATAATCCTAGTGATGTTTTCACTGGTGTGTTTCATCTAAATTGTATGAATTGTTGTTTTCTTTATATCTAAATACTTTATATTTACATGGAGGGGAGGTCCTCTCTGTGGAGGCCACCATGTTTTTTACTGTCGTCCAAACTGGACAAACTAAAACCTTTTGAGTTTTTATGACAACTGAAGTTCACCACAGGTTCTCTCTCATGATGGGAAGGGGAGGGGGAGATGAGGAGTATTCAGCTGCAACATGAAACTTCACCTCTAGATGTCACTAAATTCTACACACTGAACCTTGAAGTAGATTTTTCTGTTATCTGTACTTTACTCCAGTCACATCCCTAAATTTAAACACAAATATCTGTAGCCTACTTTGTGCTCCTTTCATTTTTTAAACAAACTTTTTACTTTTGTCTCAATGCATTTGAGAGGAATTATCAGTTTTTCTTTCTATTTTGCATCATAGAGCTGAGCATTGCCCTCCCAGCATCCACACAGATTTCAACCCAAACGAACGACGATGAACAAGATGATTATGTTGCTATGTTGCTGCTTTCAGACATACATCTAACTGCTGAGATTCTCCAAAGTTTCTCTGGAGTATGTGTATGTGTAAATGCAAATGTAAATGCAAATGTCAGAGACTCCTGAGAGGTCCCCAACACGCAGATGCAAAAATGAAAAAAAGAAAACAACTATCTCTGGGTGAAAAAGCAAGGCAACATACAGATGACTGACGAAGATGTCGAGAGTATCTCGAGGAGATAAGAGCCAACGCCAGTGTCGATGTGCTGTATATAAAATCACTGCAGCGGTATTAATATGTTATGTCCTGCCTCTGCCTGCTGTACCTTCCCTCACCGGAATCCTGCAGAGCATTTGTTGCTGTTGTGAACATGTCTTGAGCAGAGAATCTCCCACTGTGCGGTGCATGTGTTAGAGGCAAACGTCTGGGAAAGTTCTGACCCAATTCTCCGGAGTTCCTCCGCAGGTCTGAAAGGGGCTCGTCAGTGCATATCACGCAGATACATAACATGGTGTAAAAGACGGATCAGGATGAAACCGACGAGAGAAGGGGACTCAACCACTAAGAGGAGCAGGGCATATGTTCATGAGAAGGAGTAACAACATGGAAGAAAGAGAAGAAACAGCAACATAGCTGACGTCCACAAAGTCAACAGAGAAACAAAACAGTTCCCGTCCTTGGTCTAATTAAATGAATTGGCGCTATATAAATAAAATTGAATTGAATTGAATACTTTTACTTGAGTCATTTTTTAACATTAGTCTCTGTGTGTACAGAATGTGTGTAGCTTTGCCACCTTTGCTGTTGGCGGACAATGGTTAGCAATTATCAACAGTAGCCTGCTAGATGAAGTGCATTAGCACAAATGGCAGCTACTAGATGGGAGGTGGAACAGCTGTTCCTCTGGTGTGTTCAGTACAACCTGGAGCTGAACAAGCTCAAAACTGTGGAGATGATAGTGGACTTCAGGAGGAGCCCTCCAACACTGCCCCCCCCTTACCAAACTCAACAGCACTGTGTCTGTTGTGGAGACCTTCAGATTTCTGGGATCCACAATCTCCCAGGACCTAAAGTGGGCCTCCAACATCGACACCATCACCAAAAAGGCCCAGCAGAGGATGTACTTCCTGTGCCAGCTCAGGAACTTCAACCTGCCTCAGGAGCTGCTGATCCAGTTCTACAGTGCCAGCATCCAGTCTGTTCTCTGCACACCCATCACTGTCTGGTTTGGATCGGCCACCAAACAGGAAAGGAACAGACTACAACCGACAGTCAGGTCTGCGGAAAACATCATTGGTGTCAGCCTGCCCTCCATCCAGGACTTGTACATTTCCAGAGTCAGGAAACAGGCAAGAAACATCACTGCAGGCCCATCACACCCTGGGCACAACCAGTTCCAACACCTCCCCTCTGGTAGGCGCTACAGAGCCCTGAGGGCCAAAACTACCAGACACAAGAACAGCTTCTTTCCTCTGTCACTCTGATGAACACTGAATCAGTCATTCAGCATCAGGTACAAACCATATATATATTCATTCAAATCTGTCCATAATATTTTACTGCACTGCTTAATAACAATAATTACAATATAATATACTCCTTTATAGTGCTTTATCATAATACTTTATCATATTACTTCATAACTGATACTACTTTCAAGTCCACTTGTGCAGCTCTTGTAGAGTAGTGGCTGCAAGGACAGGAATTGGAGCTTAGACGCACACGTACAGTCCTCGTGATGATAAAATGTACCTTACATAGACCCTTGTGCGAACCCTTGTGTATACCACTGATACATTTTTAGAAAGTGGAGATTATTTTTATAATTAGATCATTTGTCTAATGAACCGTATGATGTCACACACACACACACACACACACACGCATTCAGACACAGAGAGAGGGAGAGAGAGTACAAACAATAATGACTCGATGAATAAACAGTTGACAAAGACACGGAGGTGTGTTGTGACTGGAGCTGCGCGTTGACCCGACGCACTGGTAGTGAGCCATCGGTGGCTCTCCAGCCGCAGCTGTGGCCTGGAGCTCCAGCTGCGGCTGACCCGCAACCAGGCGCCGTCTCCTACCTGCATCCCGTCACCGTGGCTGCTGCTGTCCACAGACGTGTCTCCGCCGTGAGCCTCGGACGATCCCCGTTCTGTTGTTGAGCTGTCAACCTCAGAGCGGAAGTGACGTCGTGTTGTTTACTGAGCGCTGGCCGCTGTAATGACGGCCCACGGCCACACAGCGCCACTAGTGAGTTCCATCCGGTGGCTACTTGGTTACATTGTTACAAATGTCACTGTGCAGAATATTAGATATAATATATTAGAGGCTTCGGTGATGACTGTGAATGAGAAGCGTCATCAAGCTGCTCAGGAACCTGTTCAATAAAAGAACAGCCATCTGCTTTTATTCTGAAAGTTCACGGTTTAAGAATTCAGATTCTGTCCACCATGTCAGCAGACTATACATTCTTTACTGTAGTAGAAGCACAGATATTTGTGTTCAAAATTACTCAAGTAAGAGTATGTGTAGTGATTCAATGCCTTTACTCAAGTAAACGTATGAAAGTACAGGCTGTGAAATGTACTTGAAGTATAAAAGTAAAAGGTTCCCCTCTGAGGGCTGTCTGTGAGCAAGCAAAATACAACTCATGTCACATTGCTAAAAGACTATTTCACCTAAACCACTTTTACTTTCAAATATATTGAGAACAAATGTAAAAGCGAGAAAATCTTTTTTTGAGCATCCAAAACTGTCCAGGATGAAATGTGAAGAATGTATTGAATACATTATTCTTCATTTAAATAAGACCAATGATGGGAAATGTTTTGTTTCTCTACCTCGTTGTTGACTTTGATTCTTCTCTTTCTTCCATGTTGTGACTCCTTGTCATGAACATATGCGCTGCTCCCCTTTTCCGTGGTTGAGCCCTCCTCTCTTGGATGTTTCATCCTGATATGTCTCATCCTGGCTCTTTTACTTTTTAATTATTTAAAAGGGACAGTGTACATTAACTAATATGAGCACAATGGTTCATATAAAGTCCCAGGCAGGTTGATTTTAAAAAGTGAACACAAACAACGTACACTAACCCTATTTATTTTATTTATCAATTTTTAAACAAAACAACAAACACGCTGAGACAAAATCCACAATATACAACAGTTAGTAAAAATGTCATTACAAATCATCTTGGCTGTGTTATTGTCTCATCCATTCAGGCTGAAATCTTTGTAGATGTTGGGATGGCAATTATGCAAATTTAAAACAGATGAAGGTGCCGGCTAATATTGTTTGTAGTGTTAAGTTTGTTGCTAGGGTCACATACGGGGATCTGAGTCATGTGGTGGTGGTACGTCAGCAGGTAGTAGTAAAATCAGCTGTTCAGGAACGAGAGGGTGAGGAGGGAAGTCCTACTTTGCTGACCGCATGATATCAACCAAAGAACTAAATGTGATGTTTATTGGACAGTGGGAACATTTCACTGCTTATTTTTTAGCTGAAATAAATATACACAAACCAGCAATCTTTTGGATCGAAGTTTTATTGAACAGCCAGTGCGTCCGGCAGGTAAAGTTTTTCCCCTGCTTAGCTTCTTGGCGACTATACTGTTTGATAGTCGCTCTACAACAGATAATTCCCCTCAAATGCATGAAAACAAAAGTAATGAGCCTGTTATGAAATGTCAGGAGTAAAAATCACAGATATTTGTTTTAAAATGTATAGCGTAGAAGTAAAAAAGTGTCTTAAAGGTACAGTGTGTAGAATTTAGTGATATCGAGTGTTGAAGTTACATGTTGCAGCTGAACACCCCTCACCTCACCCTCTCCTTCCAAACATGAAAAAGAACCTGTGGTAGCCTTTAATTGTCATAAAATCTTAAAAGGTGTTTAGTTTGTCCAGTCTGCCGGAGTACATAACATGCAAATAATACTTCTGTCATAGGGAGAACCACCAGCATGAAGCAAATTAAGAAATCTGTGCTTTAAAAAAAAAAAAAGAATTTCTTTTTAGCACAATTCTAGATCTTTTTTTGTCTGGACATTTTCCAGGGATTCCAGGAATCATCTTGGAAAAGTTTAAGATCTGTTTGGAGACTTATTGGGAAATTATTGAAATTATTATTAAAAAAGTCAGGAAAATCTTTCATCATTTTTGGGAATTTAGGCAAAATTTCCGTTTTTTTTTTAAAGTTAGCTGTTATTTCTGTCTTATTTTTTCACTATTGATAATACAGTTTAGTTTCTTTTTTGGAAACACTCTGGCAATTTTATGATAATGTTTTTAGACATTTTGGCAGAATTTAGTCATTTTTCCAAGATTATTTCAAGATTTCCTTGGAATATTCTGATCTTTTTCTTTTTTGTTTTGTTTGTTTAATTTCTGTTGATGGTTGAAGGGGCAGTATGAGCTACAGTATGACTCTGACCTGGCCTGCACAGAATGGCCTGCACAGAATGGTTCAATATCTTTGTTTCCTGGTTCAGACATAAATTTCACCTTTAACTATGTTATTGCTTATTTAAAATGTGGTTGTGAAAGTGAAAAACCAGATGTGGGAAATGGGTTCTAGTTACAAACTCAGAAAGCATCATTCTGTGATGTCCCTGGTATTTCACCCCATCATCAGACATGTGTGATGACAGGATCATATAACCCTGGAAACCCATTATCAACCGGGTCTAAAAGGTTAGCTTTTCCACTAAATACTGATTCTAAAAAAACTTATCCTCACTATCTGGGACTGCAACTCAAACTGTATAAATCCTGGAGGATACATTACGTTAGGACACAGTGAACCCCCTCACCTCCCCACCATAGATCGTAAAGGATTGCCCTGGGTGGGAGCGAAGAGTCTTGCACAGGTACATTTTTGCAAACCCGCAAAACTCTGTTCTGGACCCAACATGTTAACCACTATATTCTCCAAGTCAAAACTAATGAACTCATTAACATATGACCCGTGTCTCCTTAATTTTGTTCTTGGAAAGGTTTCGGGTCAAAAGTGACAGATTCATAATTATTTGCTTGAATTGCAGGAGCCTCGGATTCATCTTCACCAACTTGCAAAATCAACATGATATGAATAAAATAAAGACGTTCAAAAGCTCTCATTGGAGCAGTGGAAAAAGAAAGCAATGGTGAGGAGAGAGTTGTTTTTATGAGAGCACAGAGTCAACCAGGGTGGTCCTTCGCTGCAGGTTCAGATGGTCGAGCTTCTCAACATCGCACACTGCAGAAAAAGCATCCCGCTGCTCCTACGCTCTCCCTGAGCTGAGCACTACAGTAGAAGGTTAGTGGAGGAGGAAGAGGAGGAGGAAGAAGTCAGCTGCTGAAATTAAAAAAGCTGCTCTTGACTTATCTCGCTTCCCCTGCTATTCCTGGTCGCTCCTCCTCCTTGCTGCCCAGAAGTGAGCTGAAAGTTCATGAACCGAAACTAAACTTTGAGCTGATTCTCCCACTTTTGTTTCCTGAAAAGCAGTTTAGTCTTAGTTCTGTCTCTCTGGGGTCCCTGACTTGGGTCTCCAGCACTTGTCAGCTCTACTTTTTTTTATGAGCACCATTAAGAGTGGACACAGAGCATCAGGGCAGAGCAGTGCAGAGCAAGGGGAACAAGGGAAATGGGAGGAGGAGAGGAAAGAGGGATATTTTTGATGTTTACGGGCTGCAGGGTGGTGCTGTTAATGCTCATACTGTTTTTAAATAGTATGCAGTCGCTCCACTGCATATGCCTGAACAGTGACAACAAGGGCCATTTCTCCATATACTTTAAACTATTTCAATTGAATTTCCATCTACACCCATAGTTAGAGAGACTATGAAGAGGAAGCTGACCCCCAAGACACAAAACATCCTATGACCCTGAGGATGTGTCTGACTGGTGTTTCAAGAAACTAGTCTAAGATAATGATTGAGAATCAGTAATATTTCTCTACATTATCAATTAAAAATATAAACAGACCTATATGCAAAAAGTGACTAATTGAAGATGCTTAGATTTTCATATTGACTTTGTTTTTATTTTCATTTTAACCAGGATTAAACATCTCAGGTATAATTGTTGTGACACAGTATTAGAAAAGTAAAAAATATATCATTTTTGATAAATAGAAAATAACTTTCAAATAGCTTCTGGTTCTGCTCCAGCTGGGGAATTTCCTCTATCTTCATGACTCTTAAACTGCAGCAGCTGACCTGGATGATTGTGGAGACTGTTTCCTGCGTGTAAACCCATCATGGAAGGTGAAATTCTAAAGAACCTCCAACAACCTAAGAAGAAACCTGAGGAACAACCTGTCTTTGACTCTCAGCAGGGATGTGTGTACAGGATTCCTGCTCTTTTCTACAACAGAAACAGTCAAACTTTTCTCGCCTTTGCAGAGAAGCGGAAGACTTTGAATGATTCCACTGCAGAAAAGCTGCTGATGAAAACGGGAAAGCTGAAGGAGGACTAGAGTAATATTCAGGGAATTGTCTCACCAGCATTTTTTTTTCTAATGGCTGGAATACATGTGAATATTCAGAACTAGAGTCTGAATTGTATCTTTTCCAGTGGTCGGAGGTCAAAGAAGTGGAAAATGCATGTATGAGAGGATTCCGTACCATGAACCCAGTGTATGAGGAGAAGGGCAAAAAAACTGTTCCTGTTTTCATCTGTGTTCAAAATGGTTACTCAGAACAGTGGCAGCTATGTCATGGCTGCAACAAGGCTCGGCTCTGCTACATCACGACAACCAATGATGGTGAAACCTGGAGCGAGCTGACAGATTTGACCTCAAAGAAGCACGAAATCGGTGGCTGGGCCACATTTGCTGTCGGGCCAGGCCATGGTCTTCAAACAAAGAGCGGCGGGTTGATTGTTCCTGTCCATGCTTATCCAAAAAAACAAACTTGTTGCTGTTGTTTGAAATGTTGTGCCTGTACTTCATATGCACTTGCTCTGTACACTGATGATCCAGACAAAGAGTGGCAGTTTGGCATAATGCTTCAAACCGAATCAGGTGAATGTCAAATGGCAGAGCTCTTCGATGGCGAAGACAATAGCATTGTGTACTGCAACGCCTGAAGTAAAAGTGGCCATCGAGAAGAAGCTGGAGTGTGAGAAGCTTAAAGCTCAAAAGTGAAGATGCAAATACGAGCGGTGAACACAACAACGCCTGGCTGCTCTTCACTCACA